GTGGGAGGAAGGACAGGTTAGGGAGGCAGGGACGAGCTGGGCTCGTTTTGGGATGCGGTAGGGGGAGGGGAGATTTTGAAGCTTGTGAAGTCCACATTGATACCATTGGGCTGCAGTGTTCCCAAGCGGAATATGAGTTGCTGTTCCTGCAACCTTCGGGTGGCATCGTTGTGGCACTGCAGGAGGCCCAGGATGGACATGTCGTCTGAGGAATGGGAGGGGGAGTTGAAATGGTTCGCGACTGGGAGGTGCAGTTGTTTAGTGCGAACCGAGCGTTGGTGTTCTGCAAAGCGGTCCCCCAGCCTCCGCTTGGTTTCCCCAATGTAGAGGAGGCCACAATGGGAACAGCAGATGCAGTATACCACATTGGCAGATGTGCAGGTGAACATCTGCTTGATGTGGAAAGTCTTCTTGGGGCCTGGGATGGGGGTGAGGGGGAGGTGTAGGGGCAGGTGTAGCACTTCCTGCGGTTGCAGGGAAAAGTGCCGGGTGTGGTGGGGCTGGAGGGGAGTGTGGAGCGGACAAGGGAGTCACGGAGAGAGTGATCCCTCCGGAAAGCGGATAAGGGTGGGGAGGGAAAAATGTCTTTGGTGGCGGAGTCAGATTGCAGATGGCGGAAGTGTCGGTGGATGATGCGTTGGATCCGGAGGTTGGTGGGGTGGTACGTGAGGACGAGGGGGATTCTGTTTTGGTTGTTATTGTGGGGAGGGGGTGTGAGGGATGATTTGCGGGAAATGCGGGAGACACGGTCAAGTGCGTTCTTGACCACTGAGGGGGGACGTTGCGGTCCTTGAAAAACGAGGACATCTGAGATGTACGGGAGTGGAATGCCTCATCCTGGGAGCAGATGCGACGGAGGCGAAGGAATTGGGAATAGGGAATGGCATTTTTGCAGGAAGGTGGGTGGGAGGAGGTGTATTCTAGGTAGCTATGGGAGTCGGTGGGCTTGAAATGGATATCGGTTTCTAGGTTGTTGCCAGAGATGGAAACAGAGAGGTCCAGGAAGGAGAGAGAGGTATTAGAGATGGTCCAGGTGAACTTAAGGTTGGGGTGGAAGGTGTTAGTGAAGTGAATGAACAGTTCGAGCTCCTCGTGGGAGCACGAGGCGGCGCCGATACAGTCATCAATGTAACGGAGGAAGAGGTGGGGTTTAGGGCCAGTGTAGGTACGGAAGAGGGATTGTTCCACGTAACCTACAAAGAGGCAGGCATAGTTTGGGCCCATGCGGCCACCCCGTTTGTCTGTAGGAAGTGGGAGGAATTGAAAGAGAAGTTGTTGAGGGTGAGGATGAGTTCGGCTAAGCGGATGAGGGTGTCAATGGAGGGGGACTGGTCGGGCCTGCGGGACAGGAAGAAACGGAGGGCCTTTAGGCCATCTGTATGGGGAATGCAGGTGTATAGGGACTGGACGTTCATGGTAAAGATGAGGTGTTGGGGACAGGGGAGGGAAGTTCTGGAGGAGGTGGAGGGCGTGGGTGATGTCACGGACGTAGGTAGGGAGTTCCTGGACCAAGGGGGAGAAAATGGAGTCGAGATAGGTGGAGATAAGTTCGGTGGGGCAGGAGCAGGCGAAGACAATGGGTCGACCAGGGCAGTCAGGTCCAACTTTAATGGAATGGGAAGCTTGTTCTGTTCAGAAACATTGCAAGTTTGTCATAGGACACTCTCAATGCACGTGCTGCAGCTGTATTGTTGTTGTAGTATGACATGCCCATCTTCTGCCTGACTGATAGATATACTGCTCAGCACGCCCCATCAACACAGGTTGCCTGCCTCTCCCTGTGCACTAGGAAAGTTAACTAAATCATAGAGGCTGGCAGCCTGTAAGTGAATGCTCAAGACCACGTATGCTAACAAAGCATGCAAGCCACAGAAGCTGACAGCTTGTAACTGAATGCTAAAGTCAGTGAGCATTAAGAAACCAAGCTAAAAGCCATTAAAATTGAAAGAACTGTGTATGCTGTAAATCATAAACAAAAATAGAAGTTGCTGGAAAAGATCAGCAGGCCTGGCAACATCTGTGAAGAGAAATCAGAGTTAACATTTTAGGTCTGGTGACCCTTCCTTAGAACTGCTGGTAGCTAGGAAAATGTCTTATTATCACAGTCTGCCATTACACTACCTATTGTTAGCAACTAACAGTCTTCATCAACAGCTATTCATCCGCCTAGCCAGATCATTATCCACTCCTTTGTCTGTCCAACTGTTCTTCTCTCTCCCCACCTATCATTTACTCCTGGCCCCCTCCCCCCCTCCTATCGTCTGCACATAAACCAACATTTTCCTAGCTACCATCAGTTCTGAGGAAGGGTCACCGGACCCGAAATGTTAACTTTGATTTCTCATCATAGATGGTGCCAGACCTGCTGAGCTTTTCCAGCAACTTCTGTTTTTGTTTCTAAAAGCCATCAGATGCCTGATCCCACATCAGCACAAAAGCATTCTGTATAAGTGCATGAGATGTGTGTCTATCCCTGCATTCAAAGCGACCTGACTGAAACGTGCAAGTCATCGGTGTCTTTCAGCTCCAGAGTAGAGTGGTGAAGACCTAAATGGTGACTGAGTTGGTCCAAGAGCAGGCATGATGGTGTGATGAGACTGGTTGTTCTTCACTGTTGAGTTGGTTGGTTGAAGGATCGAGGAGGATGGTTTCCATGGCAAGAACGTTATACAGAAGGAACAGTCATGATGGCCAAGACATTTGCTGATCTGCAACTTCCAGCTCTATCTCACCTTTGAATTTTTACATGTCTTATTTCTCAGCGAACAAGAGGAGAATTATATGAATGATGTGATTAGGGCAAGTTGGAGTAACAATGATATGCAGATACTCATAAGTAAGCTAGTTGCCACTCATGGGTTAGATTTTGAAATCACCACTTAAGACAAGGGAAAAGTTGCATAGGTTTCTTTCATTTGTACCTTATTTAGTCACCTTATGCACCGTTACTCTTGACACAACCATTGTGGGGGAAATTCTGTCCAGGGTTCACTTTCAGGTCGATGATAGTCCTTTATCAGCGCTACAAAATTAGCCTAACCTTCTAAAGAGGGGATGTGTGCTGGCTGCAGCAAGTGCTGGAAGTATGAGGAAAGAGACAGACAAACAGACACGGAAAATAAATTATTAGGCAGAGGCAATAAACTGGGAAGACAGTTGAGTAGTCTTTGTTACTAGGTTCTGTTACTGGGATATTCCTTGAATCTTTTGCTGGCCAGTACTTTGCTCCATTTGTTTTTCTTTGGATGTTGCCACTGATTGGTAAGAGACACAAGGTAGCTGGTCACTTATAATAGGTCTCCTTATCAGCTAAAAGTTATAGCTTGCAAGAGCAGGAAAAATAAACTTGGTTTTTATCAGGTTTAAAGTTAATCTTGACTGTAGAGAACAGGGACACTGCTCCCAAGCAAGCCAAGAACTGAACATCTCTCTCTCTCTCTTTCTCTCACTCCCCCTCCCCCAACTCTCTCTCTCTCACGCACACATTCTCTGTCACTCTCTCTCTCTCTCTCACACGCACACACTCACATTCTCACACACACTGTAATATTTTGATATTTTGAAACATGCAAAACTGTTATTGGACAATGGTGCGTGAAGCAAAAGATCGAATTTGATTAATTCTCTTAGTCAACTGGGTTTCTTGCCGATAACCATAGATCAATGGAAGATTTTCCAAACAAATTTTGGTTTAGATGGAAATTGAGCTGGTTCCACATTTTTGGAAAGCGGTCATATTTCAGCTTCTCAGGGCTACAAGGTAGTCAAAATACTGATATATTGAAGCTTTACCAGGTTCCCAATTACTTCATGCAAGAGAGGGAGAGAGAGATTGCAAGCCTTGGTCATTTTCTTCCTTCAGAATCTCCAAAAACATTTTGAAACAGAAACCAGGACAAAAGGAGATACTAGACAACTATCAGCACATGAAGCCCCATGGCCTCTTCCAAAGCCAAGGTTTCCAGCAATTAAGAGCAATACACTCCATCTCTTATCTCCCTAAAAGCTTTGCTTGGCTGCTCTCCCAAAGTCACTTGACTGAAATAAGAAGGCAGATCACAGCCCACATTAAACTATTGATGTCATTTTCAAGAAACCACATCAGCTCATTACTTCTTTGTAAAAACCTTGTTTAGTCCAGAAGGTGTCTAAACAGTTTGATGTCTTGTAGTTTATTTCCACATAATTTACAAATGTAGTGATGTAATGCCAAAAGTTGCCTTGTCAGTTTGGACTGATGCAACAGTTCAGTTTGACACACTATGAGCTGTCTTGGGAAGGAAACCTGACCCTGCAATATTTTTGCTGGATTTCATGATTTGAAAAGTTTACCAGGACATTTGGAGGACTGAATTTCACCAAATCGGCAACAATCCAACATACTTGACAGATCTTGTGATTTTAAGCAAGTTGACCATTTGGGACAATGTGTGCTCAATGTACCATTTACTGTTTTATTTTTAATATTTGTTAGAGCTTCTCGAGAATACCCATCGATCCAGGAGAAGAAAAAGTCAAGCATTTGGCAGTTGTAAGTATGTTAATAGTAGAAACAATAGTTCAAAGAGTTTAAAAATAGTTTGAAATTCACGTTTTCTGACAATTTAACTTGTTCAATTATCTATCAGCGTGTGTAATATTTTCCAAGATTAGCAATATATCAGTACATTCTAATCAGTATTAACAGACAGCGACCAGTCTACCTCCTTTTTGGGTGAGCAGTTTGTTCCTAGAACTCTGTCATTGTCACTCTTAAAGTCCTAGAGTCATACAGCATGTAAACAGACCCTTCGGTCCAACCAGTCCTGATGGCCATAATCCCAAAATAAACTAGTCTCACCTGCCTGCACCTTGCCCATTTCCCTCCAAGCCTATCTTATTCATGTATTTATCTAAATGAATTTGAAGCGTTGTAACTGTACCCACATCCACCATGTCCTTTGGAAGTTCATTCCACATATGAATCACTGTTTGTATAAAAAAAACGTTGCACCGCATGTCTGTCTTAAATCTATCTCCTCTCACCTTAAAAATATGCCCCTGACTCTTGAAATTCCCTCACCGTAGGGAAAAGACACCTGCCATTCACCTTATGTATACCCCTTATGATTTTATAAACCTCAATAAGGTCACTCCTAAATCTCCTGCACTCCAGTAAAAACTATCCCAGCCTATCCAGCCTCTCCCTGTACCTCAAATCTTCCATTCCCAGCAACGTCCAGAGGGAGTGAGCTGGACTACTCCTTCTGTGTGACCTCTTCCACACCTTTGTCGGCCAGGAAACGGTCTCTGTCATCAACAACTGGTTATTTGCCCATGGACCAACCAACTTCTTGTTGCCAACAAAAGCTGCATTTTATATTCCCTCAGCTCCAAATTAAACTTCAATTGCTGCTTGTTCAAGCAGTCCTTTACGCAACGCTTGACATGGGTGTCAGGTTACTTGCTGTCAGACCCTTTCAAATGCTGATTTTAAAACACCTCTTTATCATTTCAGTCCAGTGCTTGTTAAAACACACAAACTTAAAGACAATTGTTTATGTGAAGAAGAAATGCCATCATTCACTCCTACACCAGTTTAAATATTAGTACTGAAAGAACTGTGGATGCTGTAAATCAGGAACAAAAACAAAGTTGCTGATAAAGCTCAGCAGGTCTGGCAGCATCTGTGAAGGAAAAAACAGAGTTAATGTTTCGGGTCAGGTTCTGAGGAAGGGTTGCCGGGCCCGAAACGTTAACTCTGTTTTTTCCTTCACAGACGCTGCCAGACCTGCTGAGCTTTTCCAGCAACTTTGTTTTTGTTAAATATTAGTACACTGTATACTTGGGATCATAAGCAAGAGATGACTTGTAATTGGTGAGACACTCAGACAAATATCAGTTAGGACAGATTATTAGCATAGTGTAGGTGCTAGGGCTGCCAGAAAGTCTGTGGTCACCATCAAAGAGGATGGAAGAGTCTGGTTTCATCTGACAGAGGACTTTGCACAGAGCTTATATCCACCCTCGGCAGCACTGATGTGATGGTTAACTCCATGAGAATACTTGCTGAGCCAACCATGCTGTAGTGTGTCATGGTTGAAACATCAGCTTTTATTTTAACACATGTCGATACCATTCAAGAATTGCATGTCATAGTTGAAGCACAGACAGAAGTTGTGCAATCTCAGCTTTCTACCACTCAAGCTCGGACTGCTGCCAATGTAACTGTAGATTTCCAGTGTGTAAAGGGGTTTGCAGGGTCTTACAGCTATTTAGCGATATGAATTCCCAATACATTGCTAGGATCACTAGGAATCCCTGCGGTCCTTTCTCAGGATGACAGCATTCACTATTATTCATAAGTACCATTGGGGCTGGCTATCCATCAACCACCCAAAGGTTCACTGAGTTATCCTGGAAAGCTGCCTGCACATTTCCCCACTGAAGACGCCAGCCTTCTGCATGATGTTTGTAACCAGTAAGGTACAATTACATAGAAACACTTGAGCAGAGAATAACACATGGGAGACATGCACTAAGGGTGATCACTTGACTTGTATCCAGAAGTGGAATAATTTGGTTACTTCTTTTCTTCCTGTTCCTCATCCACCTTCTTCGCAGTTTTTTACATGTTAGGTAGCTATGCTATCATGATTGCAAGCTTTGGAACAGGCAGCAGACCAGGACAATGTGTTGTGGGCATCTCCAGAATAGTCCTGGCAGAAAAGGAAACAGTTTTCGATACCATCCTTGATAACTCTAATAACCTCTGATAGTCTATATTCTCGTAGAGGTTAACTGTCCCATTGTATATATTTAATATTACCCTCTGATGGAGTATCCAAAATAACATGCACGACTCACAGCTGTAGCCTCACCAATGTCTCGTTCTATGCATTTGTATTTAGTGTCCCTATATAGAAAACCTATATATTCATGTAGAAAGTAGTTAAGCAGGTGATTAGAGTTGATTGATTAATTAATTGACTGTTTAGATATAAAGGAGGAATAGGTAGGACTGGTGTGTGGAAGGAGCCATAAGACTAAGTCATTAATAAACTCTAACCACAAACAAAAACGGCTTTGTTTCTGTTTCGCTTCTGGCTTGGATTGAATTGACAATTGAATACAATATTCCTTTTCATGACACTTTATACGGTCATACTTATGAAAAGGATCTTATACAGCCATATTGTCAATTTTATTATAATAATACATACTAGATATTTATATTTGTACAAACTGTTTGGTTAGTGTTATCAGACACTCGGGCCATGTGGATTCAGTTCATTTCAATCTGATTCACATAGGGGACCAATGATATTATCACAGTTATGCCACATTGATACTACTGAAACAGAGGACTATGATATGTTTGCCCACAGGTGAGTTTATCTCACAGATGAGGTTATCTTCTCTTACAATTTGAAGGCCAGCTCATTGAATTTACCATCACAGATTGCATGAGGGGCCTGTGTAACAGATTATATGATAACACAATGCCTTTGCATTATTGGCTTTATAGTGTCACACATTTTCAGTTTGAGTCATGCAATGTTCTTGCAGTTCCATTTCATTGATGGATTGTTGAGTCCTAAGTGTGAAGTCTGCAATTTGGATTGTAGTGTAATACACTAACCTGCTAGCTAGTGAAATAGAGATAACAAGGTGTAGAGCTGGATGAACACAGCAGGCCAAGCAGCATCAGAGGAGCAGGAAGGCTGACGTTTCGGACGGAGACCCTTCTTCAGAAATGGGGGAGGGGAAAGGGTTTCTGAAATAAATAGGGAGAGAGGGGGAGGCGGATAGAAGATGGATAGAGGAGAAGATAGGTGGAGAGGAGACAGACAGGTCAAAGAGGCGGGGACGGAGCCAGTAAAGGTGAGTGTAGTGGGGAGGTAGGGAGGAGATAGGTCAGTCCAGGGAGGACGGACAGGTCAAGGGGGTGGGATGAGGTTAGTAGGTAGGAGATGGGGGTGGGGCCTTGAGGCAGGAGGAGGGGATAGGTGGGAGGAAGGACAGGTTAGGGAGGCGGGGACGAGCTGGGCTGGTTTTGGGATGCAGTAGGTGGAGGGGAGATTTTGAAGCTTGTGATGTCCACATTGATACCATTGGGCTGCAGTGTTCCCGAGCGGAATATGAGTTGCTGTTCCTGCAACCTTCGGGTAGCATCATTGTGGCACTGCAGGAGGCCCAGGATGGACATGTTGTCTGAGGAGTGGGAGGGGGAGTTGAAATGGATCGCGACTGGGAGGTGCAGTTGTTTAGTGCGACCCGAGCATAGGTGTTCTGCAAAGCGGTCCCCAAGCCTCCGCTTGGTTTCCCCGATGTAGAGGAGGCCACAACGGGAACAGCGGATGCAGTATACCACATTAGCAGATGTGCAGGTGAACATCGGCTTGATGTAGAAAGTCTTCTTGGGGCCTGGGATGGGGGTGAGGGGGGAGGTGTAGGGGCAGGTGTAGCACTTCCTGCGGTTGCAGGGAAAAGTGCCGGGTGTGGTGGGGCTGGAGGGGAGTGTGGAGCGGACAAGGGAGTCATGGAGAGAGTCATCCCTCCGGAAAGCAGATAAGGGTGGGGAGGGAAAAATGTCTTTGGTGGTGGGTCGGATTGCAGATGGCGGAAGTGTCGGTGGATGATGCGTTGGATGCGGAAGTTGGTGGGGTGGTAAGTGAGGACGAGGGGGATTCTGTTTTGGTTGTTATTGCGGGGAAGGGGTGTGAGGGATAAGTTGTGGGAAATGCAGGAGACACGGTCGAGGGCGTTCTCGTTCACTGAGGGGGGGAAGTTGCAGTCCTTGAAAAACGAGGACATCTGAGATGTGCGGGAGTGGAATGCCTCATCCTGGGAGCAGATGTGACAGAGGCGAAGGAATTGGGAATAGGGAATGGCATTTTTGCAGGAGGTTGGGTGGGATGAGGTGTATTCTAGGTAGCTGTGGGAATCGGTGGGCTTGAAATGGATATCGGTTTCTAGGTTGTTGCCAGAGATGGAGACAGAGAGGTCCAGGAAGGAGAGAGAGGTATTCAAGATGGTCCAGGTTAACTTAAGGTTGGGGTGGAAGATGTTGGTGAAGTGGATGAACTGTTCGAGCTCCTCGTGGAAGCATGAGGCGGTGCCGATACAGTCATCAATGTAACGGAGGAAGAGGTGGGGTTTAGGGCCAGTGTAGGCATGGAAGAGGGATTGTTTCACGTAACCTACAAAGAGGCAGGCATAGCTTGAGCCCATGCGGGTACCCATGGCCACCCCATTTGTCTGTAGGAAGTGGGAGGAATTGAAAGAGAAGTTGTTGAGGGTGAGGACGAGTTCAGCTAAGCGGATGAAGGTGTCAGTGGAGGGGGACTGGTCGGGCCTGCGGGACAGGAAGAAATGGAGGGCCTTTAGGCCATCTGTATGGGGAATGCAGGTGTATAGGGGACTAGACGTCCATAGTAAAGATGAGGTGTTGGGGACCGGGGAATTGGAAGTTCTGAAGGAGGTGGAGGGCGTGGGTGGTGTCACGGACGTAGGTAGGGAGTTCCTGGACCAAGGGGGAGAAAATGTAGT